GTCCCGGCAAGGGCTGGGAGATTCTTTTTGGGCGAACCAGGCCTAGGAGGTTGTTTTTGGCACATTTTGGTTCAACTTTACTTCAACTTTACGGCAAGTTACCTTCTAGGAGATTCTTTTCGGGGCTGCTGAGCCAAGGGAAAGTGAACTTGGGAGCTCGATCTCTACTCTGAGGGGTAGATTGGCATTGGGGGTCGGCCGCCGGCGTGAATCTACATGAGGGACGCGCAAAATTTTAGTCGGACGTGGCCTAGTGCACCCCCAAAGAACTACGCGGCCTACATCGGCGGCTTCCCCCACAGGCCCGCCAGGGCCGGGAGTTAGTATAGTAGGGTAGATACAGCCAATCGGGATCTTGAGCTCGCCTGGAAATCATAAATGATTCACCCTGGGCGTTGGCACGTGTAAAGCTTCGCGCGCACCGAACACCCACATGAGTAGCGACCAGATCTGCCGCATGGTAGATCGGAGCTAACCCTGAGCGGCAACATCGCCAAGTTGGATTTGCGTCTGCAGCTGGAAAGAGTGAGACAAATAGTTTGTAGCCGCTTCGAGACGCCAGTCAAGGCCGCAACCAACAGTGAATTCAAGAATTTTACGAAGCGGCAGTTTCACGAGTGCGCCCTCGCAATCATTGATGCCATATCCAACGATGACGTCGCGATGGGCGTGATGTGGCTCCTCACTTGTAGCCCAGGTCAGCGAGGACACAAATTGGATAAGGTCGCATTTACCATTGGGCGACTCGGCAAAGCAGAAGGGAGGAGATCTAGCGATGAGATCGTGGGGCTTCGTGTTATTGAAAAGCATGAAGTAATGAAGATACGTATGCCAACTTGTGGTCTTAAATATTTTTTCGCGTTGTTCGTGCTCGTGCTCATGCCCAACGACAAGAAACCTACACATGATGGCTCTGCAGAACCAATTTGAAGTGAGTCACGCGGTGTGACGAACATGCCGAGATGATCAATAACGAGCGGATTTACGTTGTTGTGGAGCCACTTCCCGAAGTGTCCGAGGAGAGGTAACGTGGTGGGAAGTTCAGGCAGCGGTAGCAATTGAGACTGCATCTCTGCCTGCAGGCCGAGGAAGGTGAGAAATTGAAGCGTGCCGTCCAGTACTAGCAGACCGAGGTTGCGAGAATTTGTCACCGCAGTGTAGTTAGCGAGCTGAGGGTAAATCTCCGCAGGAGCTGCAACATAACGAACCGTGAATATCTCGCTTTGGATCTCTGGAATGACCTCTTGTACGACGAATCGCTGCTTGAAATCATGCAGGAAGTACTTCCCCGTCTCCGATGATAGAACTGCTGTTGCGAGAATCCGGTTGTCGTAAAGGAGGAGACGAACATCCTCAGCAAGCCACCCGACATCATTTGGGCGGTCAACTTCCTCTGCGAACACCTGTCGGGCAATGTCAAGAATGCAAAAATTCTCATCTAGTAATACTATGGAGGAGTGGCGACCGGGTGCCTCCGCAGTCGATTTAAATTTCCCATAGACAATGTAGGCCGCCAGCTTGTAAAGTGTCTCAAAACGTTGACACTGTCCCCATGAATGCCGAATTGACGCAACATATCGAGCCGTTGGGTATTTAGACCGCAAATCTTTGATTATTTTCTTGGGTATGCGGACCAGCGATGGGTTGAATGCTGCTAGATGATTAAAGTGCAAATGTGACATGATCTGAACGTGCTCTGTGTAAATTGTCTCCGCGTTGAAACGTGATGCAAAAAAACCGAGCTCATTCCATTCTTCTTTGTCTAAACTGTCGAGTCCTTGCCCCCTACCTCTCCCCGCAGGCGGGCTAGGCCTCTTCTCTGCACATTGAGAGCCAGACTGCGAAAAATTGCGCATTTGGGCGCTACAGATACCACTTCTGGATATTGCAGCACGCGCGATCTCCGCTGTGGTCGCAGCCAGCCGCCTCGCCTCGCGCGCTTCGCTCGCAGCATTAACGGCCGCGTTCATGGCTGTGTCGGCGGCGACCTATCTTTCCCCATCTATATCTCAGTCATGACGGAAACACGCCGTGACCCACTGCGAGCCGCGCTCGTGCATCATCCGCAGCAATCGCGATGCGTCGTGCCGTGTGTCGTGCCTCGTACGCTGCGTGATGAGCCAATCGAGTCTGCGCCTGAATTCTTTGGCTTGAAGCTTGGGCTTCAGCGAGCACCGCCTCATATTTGTGGAGCCGTTCGTCCTCCGCTGCCAATGCCAGCGCACTTTCTGCCTCTCTAGCCATACGCGCGATTAGTCTCACCTCACCGGAGCTCTTGGCTCTGCTCACATCAACGCTCTCTGCGCCCTCGTGTGACCGGGCTGCCGTGCGCGCTGCCGCTGCTGCCACGCCCGCTGCGGTCGCTTCGTCTGCAGCGTGCACGGCAGCCAATGCCATAGCTACCACCCGTGATTCGCCGTGGTGATGCAGATGGAGAGTGTTTGCACCATCGACCTCACCAACCTCACCTCCTTTCTCCAAAGCATGAGCGGTGTTTGCGGCAGCCTGTGCACTAGACTTTGCAACTGATGCTATTGCAACCTGAGATTCTGACTTGGATAGCTCTTCCAAGACCCGCGTCGCTGCCTCGCGAGCCACAGAGGTAGCTTGACTCATTCGCACGGCATCTCCAGCCTCGCTCGCCGCCTTTCGAGCCTGCTCTGTGAACTGTCGGATGTCTCGCTGTGTATTGATCACCGCACAATCATTTCCTGAACGACATGGCGTCCCCATTTTCGCGTTCACAACACAAAATGCGGACAACACCACTGTCAACGTCTCCATCACCGCAATACGCAGTTTTTTATGTGCAAGGAAATAAGGGAGCTGTGAAAGCGCCGAATCCATGCACGATCAACGATGGACGAACGGGCAGAGGATCTGCCTCACTAGGTCCAGGAAGACTCTCCGTCTATTACAGTGCGGGAGACAACTATAGCAGGGTTAGAAAGTATTAAGGAGGGGGAGGATATTTGGTGGCTCTGTACCAGCGAGCCACTAGGGAGATACAAAACTCTCTATCTCTCTAACCCATTACGGCAGTCCAATATGTTTCCGGTGACGAGTTAGTGAGCTTAGACCACCTATCATCCTCCAGCTAAATAAAACTGCTGGCTGTGGTGGTCCTCTCCCAGGTCGCCGCTTCCCCGGGGTCCGGGGTGGCGCGGCTTATATTTTTGGCCCGCCCACCACCCTCCTTCGGCGCAGATGAAGCATCCGCCCTGCCCTACCCTCCTCCGTCCCCGCTGAGGTGGCTGCGCCATCCAAGCGCGGCCCGTCGGCCTTCATTCTGGCACTCTTAACTGAACTGAGCTCAGCATCCCCCTTGAGGGAGGAGCTTACTCTGCTTCCTTTAGCTCAGGCTAGTGGAGGCGTTAGTGGAGACCCGAAAGGCCAAGTGGACGGAAACAGTCAGTGCGCGAAACCAACCCTTGAAACGAAAGGCCTGGGGTTTTGTATCTTGAAGTTCAGCTTGGTTAGTTGCCAAGTTCAACATAAAAGTGGGGTCCTTTCGCCGGGGCTGGCGTTGTGAGTGCGGTAGCGTCGTACATTTTGAGACACTCGGGCGTGAGGATCGTTTTTCGCGAAACTGAGTTGACTTTCAACCCGCACTAGACCCCCGCGCGCGCGCGCGCGCGGCAAATTTTCAGGAGGTGCAGTACACGTCCCTCCGGCCGCTGGCCGGATTTAATTATTAAATATTATTTTCTTATTTCGTACGGGCGTGTCTAGGCGTCGGTTGTTTCGCGCACTGGAAACAGTAGGCATTCCTAATCTATTCTAAAGCAACCCGGGGTTAATTTTGACCCCCCGAGCTATGGTCACTTTTTTTTTCACTTTTTTTTTTTTTGCGCCGCGAGCCGCGGAGGGTCCAGGGGGTCCCCGGGGACCCGCCCGGGGCGTGCGCGAGCGCGGGGGCGCCCCCGAACGCGCGCCGACCGTCGTAACGCGCCGCGCGGTCCCGCGCGGGCGCGACACGCGGCCGTCGCACGCGCGCTAAAGCGAGATCCTCGACAACCCGCCGCGTCGCAGCGCCCTTCCCCACCCCCTGGTGCCCCGGGGGTCCGCCGGGGCGCGTAGGAGGCGTCGTAGGAGCATCGAAAAAAAAAGTCAAAAAAAAGTGCCAATAGCTCCAATAGCTCGAGGGGTCAAACTAATAATCCCGGCTGGGATGGTGCCTGTAGTGAGTGCTTCTCCAACAGCTAGAGCTTCACTCAAGTCAACTCTCTCCCGCCGCCGCGGCGTCAGAAGCCCACGACCTCGCTGTCAAGGCAGCGGCAACCTCAGTTCGTAGGGACTCATGGCACTTCCAGAATTTGATTTCT